AGTCAAATTTAGGATTTTGACATTTTGACAAAAATAATGCTACGTCGAAATATATTTAGACACCAAAGTGTCTAAATATTTGACTAAATAGCATATTTCAGCTAACAACACTAGCCCAGAGCCGGTCCACTCCAATCAGGACCCCGAATTAGTGTTCCGCACGGAGTAGGGTGTCCAGGATTAGAATGTCCAGACTCGTGCAATTACATTTTAGACACATAAGATGCGTGGCAAATTTATCTTTTTTTGATGCAACTAGTACAATATTTGTGCAAAATGCTGTTGCTTAACATCAACATAATAAAAGCCAATGCACATAATATGTAGCTTTTTTGATCTAAATTTAATTTGTAACTATTTAAACAATTACGGTGTGGATAGTTATAATTGCTAGTTATTGTTATCACTACGTATTTGTTTTTTAATTGCACTGATATCACATAACCAAAATTTTTTATATTGAATAAAAATGCGTTTTAGTTTGCACGAGTCTGGACACTCTATCCAGGATTATGTGATGCTGCTTGAGTCGCCAGGGCGACCACCAAAAGTACGGGCACGCCACATTCATATCTTAATAACCAGTATATAGTATATTTGCTTTGTTACATATTTCATTTTATGAAATTTTCGCAGGAGCTAGACGATTCAATAATTTTCTATGTGGCGTCTTATCATGTGCCGTACTTCTGGTGGTCGCCCTGGCGCACTCATGCTGCTTCGCATAATTGGAAAAAGGGCATAAAAATCACATGTGTAGATTGTGATTCGACGTAGATAGCGGGTGTTTCAAAAGTTCCAAAACACGGTCCCTTTTTTTAAAGAGGCCTAATACATAAAGATCATGGTTATTTATACAAATATATATATGCATAAATAATCATCATGATCTTTATGCATAAGGCCATTTAAAAAAGGGACCTTTTGAACTACCCGATATATATTCGCATAATTCTGGACACCCTATGTTGGAGGCTCGTCTAAAGCGGTGCAGAATCACGTGATACACGACCAAGCAAAACAACAAAAATAGCAGTCTAAACCTATTTTGCATATTAGATATATATATAATTATCTAAAACCTACCCTAACCTTAATCTAACCCCAATCCTAAAGTTAATTCAATAATTTAGACGTCCCCCTTTTTTTGGGCCTGCCAATATCAACGCATGCTGATTGGCTACGGGCTACAAGATATTTTTAAAAACTACCGTAGATAAAGAAAAATTTGGTACAGTCTACCCTCGTTTATATCAATCTATTTGAAATGGTTTAAATTCATATTGATAGTCTTATTAACAAGGGATTATATTAACAAAAATTTGTAAAAATTCGTAGACTGTCCCGCGGTTGGGATCAGATCAAAATCCGAATCCGATCCAATCCGACTTTTTCGAACACTAATAGAAAGATCTAAATTAAATAAATTTAATTTTTTATCAATACATTTTAGGGATATTAATTGGTCTGGCTGGTCCAATTCAAAAATAAAAGCTAAACTAGTTAATGTTCGGTACGAACTTAGTTTGACTCAGTCTTGGCCAAGTTTTCAAAGTTTAGTCCTCAATATCAGTTCAATTAAATGACTGAGTTAAAGTATACGTCTAAACTTGGTATAAGCTGAGTTTGCTGAGTTTGCTTCAACTATTTAGCATCCTTAACTCATTAATCAATTTACTTCTAGACATAGCTACAGTTATCAATTGTAAAGCAAATATTTCAAAAAAAATATATAGGGGCATGCCTCAAGCAAAAGGCATCCCAAAAAAATTTTCCGCGCCTTCTACTCTACTGGATGTATGATGTAAAACGCGTCAGGAAAAGCTTGTCACGTAAATATAACATGATAGAACAATCAAAATTTCGAAATTTACGCTCTTCTAGTTAAAATAAGCACAAATGCAAATAATTACTCAAACAAATACAATAAGACAAATTGAAGTTTATAAAATATACAAAAAACTATAAACAAATATGTAATGTATACAAAATTGAATCGCGAAAGTACGATGAAATATCAAGCCTCTATAAATCCCAATTCTAGTACAACCTATCAGAAACGGCGAAATAAAGTCTTTTATTCTATGAAATCAGGCAAATTAAAAATCAAGAATTTGTAAATGTCCTATCTATCAGTTTCTCAAGTATAGAGCGTTAAAGTTTACTGTAATCGAAAAAAAACACAGCCATTCACTTTTAACAATTTATTTACAAAAAATTAGAATTTGAGATTAATTTAGATTGAATCATAAAGACATTTGGCACACCAATTTCCGGCTATATTAAAAACATTTCAGAAATTTCAGAAAATGATATTCGGATTAATAACAATGCGACAAAGTTTGTTTACTAATTAAAATACTTACACGATCGTCCAAACTTTTCGCCAAAGCATCTATCATCGCTGCATCATCTTGGTCATCATCATCCGCATCATTTTCATCATCGTATTCTGTATCTTCTTCAGTATTTTGCATAGAATCAACCATTTCCACATCATCTCGAATTTCTTGTGAATGTCCTGCCTCTCCACTAACTTCATTACTCTCTGATGCTACTTCTTGTGTATGCATTTGTGCCTGTCTCTTGAATTGTGAAGTCCGCTGTCGTTGGCTTCCCATAGGATATTTTTCCTTATCGCGTTTTCTCTTTGATTTTACCATTCTACATTTATAAAAACCGCAATTTTCTGACCATCTATTTCTACAAATCCAGCAAAATCTATAACCACAATGTAAACAGTCAACTTTGTTGCACCCATCATCACGGTTAATAAGAATGGAACAATTTGGACAAGACTTTGAATTCGCAAGTTTCCATTTTATGTTTTCAAGTGCGTCATTATGAACATGACAGTGATTAAGAATGAACAAGTGAGGATTAGCTACTTTATAGCGCATAAATTGAATGCAAGTCATTCCAGGGTGATGGGTAGATTCTCCGCATTGAAGACAAATATCATTGTTACAACGGGTGCTACAAATGAGCAAAAAAAAAAAAAGAATTAGTAGTCACATTTAGAAACAATCATGGATATTTATTATTTACCAGTGAGACTGGGGAAAATTTGCCACGTGCATAAACTGCAGTTCTTTCCACGCATCGGGTCGAACCTCCAATGCAACAATCTTTGAAGAGATTTCTGCCGCAGATTTGACCATGTCGGCGTGAGTTTTTAACTTGCGTCGTGAAAATTTTGAAGGACGTCGATTGTCAACGTCCATACTACAATTTATTAATATAACAATTATTAAAAGGCATACTTGAGCTGTTAACATTATTTC